TGTTTATACATTGTTTTTTTTTTATAGATAAAATATTTAAGTAAATGCTTGTTTATAATAAACAGTATTAAAAACATTTATTATATGAATGTCCGAGAAATTTCATAGAAAATATGTGTCCTTCGACAGGAATTGAACCTGTATCCTATATGGAATAGGAAATATGCGTCTATGAAAATTTCTCAGACATTCAGGCCAGTAAATGTCTTTAATACTGTTTATTATAAACAGAATATTTACTTAAATATTTGTATCTATAAAAAAAAAAAATGAATGTATAAACATAAAAAATGTCTTAAAATAATTGTTGGACTTTGTCCATTTCATAATGTGTGATGTCCTTTGTTTACATTTGGATACGCATCGAGCAGATCTGAATGTACACAAGAAAATCATGGAGAGAATTGTAGTTTAAAAACAGTAAAATTGACCTTGCTAACTGAAACACACTGTGGCTCAATCGGTAAAAGCATGTCAGGCTATATGACAGTTCCATATAGGATACAGGTTCAATTCCTGTCAGAGGACGCATATTTTCTATTAAAATTTCTTGGACATTCAGGCCGGTAAATGTCGTTAATACTGTTTGTTATAAACAGGGCATTTACTTAAATATTTGTATTTATAAAAAAAAAAAACAACGTATAAACATAAAAAATGTCTTAAAACACACACACACACACATATATATATATATATATATATTGTTTGCAAAACATGGATATCTATTCAAATGTATGTATCTACTAAATATGTTTAAAGTAATAAGAAACATTATCTGATTATGAATAAAATCAATTAACTAATTCCTTTGTTTAGGTTTTAGATACAAAACTAAAGTTCGCAAATATGGGCTTCAATGGATCCCAACAAGAGTTATGCATTTCTTAAATAGGTTAATTTAACTTTGCCTGGTTCTGAAAGATTTCTATGGATGAGTGGTTAAAGCACACTGTTTATGATTCTATAAGGAGAATGCAGGTTTGAATCTTGCCAGAGGCACATTATCTTTATTAAGGCTCTAGAATGTACAGGATGGTAGATATAAATTTATGCTATTTGAAAACAGGAATGCCAATTCGAATATACGTATTCATTGAATATAATGTTTACTATTAATAATAATATATCTATCATCTGTTTGTATTAGTGTATGTATGTATGTATATATATATATATATATATATATATATATATATACACTGTCCACTGTCTCAAGCGCTTTTGGAAACTTCTTTAGCCATTTTCATTTTTGCACTCCTTTACTCTCACCAAATGAAAAAATGTTTCTTTCTGTCATTTCATATATATATATATATATATATGTATCTAGGTTTGCTCTACGGTTGTATTGAGTGCTTTTGTTAGTTGTTTACTCAGGGTTTTTTCTTTGGGCTTCAGACCTGCATCTGTGTGATTTTTTTGTCGACAGAAGTTCATGTTTGTAGCTCTTTCTTTTTTTAAAACCTTTTTTCCCTCGAGATTGATTTGATTATTAGCATATCAAAAATTCGAGGGTTTTTCGAAACGAGTCTAGTTATCTATAATTATATGTATGTATGTATGTATGTATGTATGTATGTATATGTATATATATATATATAGAGAGAGAGAGAGTGGCTAAACCACATCTTGCAAGCAACATGTAATATTGGCTGAGTTCCTTTTTTTCATTACAGTTAATATAAAAGGTAAATAAGAAAAGGTCAAGCTTTATAATTATTTACCAAGTATGAATTGAGATTTTTTTTTTTTTTTTTTAAAACATTACGTCCCGAGTAAGGCGTGAAGCCACTAGGATGCAGGGGGTTGCAATAGACCAGTTGCCATCCAAGGCTATAGAACCTGGTCTGTTTTGTTATTTATCCATAGCTTGGGGGAGAAGATGAGGATTCATACCTTTCCCAAGGGTATTAGCATATTAGTGAATGTAATGGATTTGACTGGAATTAATCTTGGCTTTCAGATTCATCAATCTGAGCCGCCATCTATTACGCCATTGTGCTTCCCTAAATATATATATATATATATATATATATATATATATATATATATATATATATATATATAAAAATGAAATGACAGAAAGAAGACTTTTTACGTATGCCTTTCATCCCTGAAGAACTTTATTAAGGTAAATTGAAAATTTTATTTTGTAACTTATATTTATAAACAGAAGTAGAGGAAAAATATTGTTTTCAAATTTTAAATTTGAGAACACTCCATTTGAACATTACATTTGAAAGCTGAGTGTTACTAAGTTTCAAAATGACTTTCTTCTCATTAGTAGCCCAATTTATTTTAAAAGTTGCTTCCAGAATTTTTAAATAGAAAGTAATTAAAAGTAAGTTATAATTGCTGGACAATATGCTGATAACATAACAAAGTGGAAGTAGTTAAAATTTGGCCTGTTGCATTCACTTTTATGTAAAAGCCCTAGAAAAAGGCATAAAGTCATTTCATCTCTCACCATCTATAAATTAAAAAGCAAAGTAGACTGAGCTCTTTAACCTTGGCAGGCAGTCTAGGAGAAGGCTGATTATGAATTGAAAACCGTAAAAAAGGCAACAGTAAATCAATTTTACTAAAGAATGCATGGCAATTTGCAGATAATAAAAAAAACAAGAATCTGTGGACAGCTATTGTCATCTGTATCCCTTGTGGACAGCTATTGTCATCTGTATCCCTTGTGGACAGCTATTGTCATCTGTATCCTTTGTGGATAGCTATTGTCATCTGTATCCCTTGTGGACAGCTATTGTCATCTGTATCCCTTGTGGACAGCTATTGTCATCTGTATCCTTTGTGGATAACTATTGTCATCTGTATCCCTTGTGGACAGCTATTGTCATCTGTATCCCTTGTGGACAGCTAGTGTCATCTGTATTTATCCCTTGTGGACAGCTAGTGTCATCTTTATCCCTTGTGGATAGCTATTGTCATCTGTATCCCTTGTGGACATGGCATTTAAAAAAAAATGAAAAATCTAGTTGTCCAGTAATATCCAACTTAGGTCATTATGAAAAAAAATCCTTCTACTGTACAGGTACTGGGATTTGTAAAAATAAAAGTTTGGGAATCATTGGTGTAGACCAGTGATTCCCAAAGTTTGCGGTAACGTCTCCAACCCCACCAAGGGGTAACGGAAAGATCAAGGGTCTGGCGATGAGGAGAAAAAGAAATAAAGGAATAACATAAAATTTATATATACATATATATTACTATGCGTAACCACATTATAAAGTTTATATGTAATTTCCAAATTGAGCAGTATTCCCACACAAACCCACACCCCAAGGTGATGGTCAGCAGCAGTGAGAAAAAAGTGGGCAGCCAGAAGTATATCTGAACCATAATATACACTACACATACACACGCACACTGTACCTGAAATGTATTTTATCTTTACTTTATAGTGTATCCTGTTTATATAACAATTATTATGGAAAATACTAAGATACTCATTTGGTATGCAATACAAGCACCAAGAAAATTCCAATCAATGGTTGACTATACATTGGCGGGGTGACATTAGGAGAGTGTTTTGGTACACAATTTTTGATACATGTTTGGTAACAACTGATATAAACTGATTCTTTTTGTTGTACTGGAACACACCTATTCTATTGTTAATAGACTCTCCCACCTATAATAAGTAGGAGTAGTAGCAGTTGCCAGGAGCTCAGTGAGTTGGTCAGTCAGGTGATGTCGGACATTAAAGTATCAGCCACCACAACTAGATTGCTGCGTCATTAACTATTATATCAAGTTCCTAATGTTTTGTACGTCAAACCTTTTTAGGGGCGACTTAGTGAAATACAAGCCTCCACTGTGAAACTACTCTATAACACTTTTGTAACTAGAAAGACTGCAAAAATATTTTGCCATCACATGTTCACTTTTACATTAATACCCAAGGAAAAGGTATGAATTCATTTCATCTTCCACCACCTATAAATGAAAAAGCAGAGTAGACTGATCTCTCTAGCTTTGGAAGGCCGTCATTCTATGAGGAGGATAACTCTGAATTCTAAACTGTAGAGAAAGCAACAGGAAACCACTTCACAGTATTTCCCAAGAAATCATGGTGTTTCACAGAATGGCATCAAGGAAGAAATACATGGAGACCAGTGATTATCTACATCTTGAAATAACATGGCATTTAAAAATAAAGCATTGTTGCCTTTTCAGTAGTAGTCCAATCTGGCATTCCTGAACAAGATGATACAGGTGGAGTATCTAGGGAAGCTCAAGCTTAGATATTGTAATATTGGTCAGGACCAATAACATTGTAGATTCTTTAGATTTTTATGAAGAATCTCTAAATATATAGCAGAAGAACCAGACCAGATGTGACAACAGTATTCAAAGCAAAAATTAATGGTATACATATTTATAAGTCTACCATTCATCCATGCTTTAAATATTGCTGCCACATCTGGTCTGGTGCTCCTGCTATATATTTAGAGTTTCTTGATAAAATTCAAAGAAGAATCTGCAATGTTAATGATCCTGATCTGGACATCTGGCCTTCAGTCACTTTCACACCACCATAACATAGTTTCTCCATGCCATTTTTATAACTACTTTCATGGAAATTGTTCTGATGAACTTTCATCTGTGGTACCTAGACTTTATGAATTTAAGTACAATACTAGATTGGTGGTAAGGTCTCGTCATTCTACAGTTGAATTGGCTAGATGTAACTTTTAAGTTCTGTGCTAGCAATTTCTTGTCTTGCACTTCTCACTTGTGGAACTCTTTTCTGGCTTCTTGCTTTCAAGTCAACTTTGATCTTCAAAAATTTAAACGTAACATAAATTGTTATTTTTTTTATTAATTTCTGTTCTTTTATTGTTCTCCCCTTAACAATTCTCTTAACATATTCTCTCTCACTCAGTAACCCCTTGTGTCTTAGTGGCTTTATTGCCTTGCTTGGTGTGAAATGATTGTTTGCTTGAATAGCTTCAAAACCATTGCACTCATATTCCTTATTAGCCATGATATGTTGTTCTTTCAGTATAGTTAGCGACAGCACAATCATATTCCCAGTACATATTACAAATAAGCACTTGCTGAAACAAATGTATGCACTTTAATCTGTGAATATGCATCTGCATATTATCATTGCTTATTCTAGGTGTCATAAGTACATCTGTTCATTTTCTTAATGCAATTCTTTTCTACCATTCTGTCTGTGTGTCTCTACTGTATCTTTTTTTCTATTCCTTCCCTCTCCTCCTTATGCCATTTTTTTTCTTTTCCTTATGACTTTCCTTTGATTATATTTTCTCTTACTATCTCTCTTTATCAATGATGTTTCTTTTCTATTTTCATTCTCTCATATATTCAATGGCTTTTCCCTTTCAGTGGTGTCTCTTTCCCTTTGTCAATATCTCCCTTTTTCTTACACTCATCTCTCTGCAATTTCTCACTCCTTTTCCCCTTTTCTTATCCTCATCTCTCTATACTATTTATGTTCTCTTACTCTCATCTCTCAATACTATTTCTGTTCTCTTACTCTCATCTCTCAATACTATTTCTGTTCTCTTACTCTCATCACTCAATACTATTTCTCTCCCCTTCTCTTACTCTCATCTCTCAATACTATTTCTCTCCCCTTCTCTTACTCTCATCTCTCAATACTATTTCTGTTCTCTTACTCTCATCTCTCAATACTATTTCCCTCCCCTTCTCTTACTCTCATCTCTCAATACTATTTCTCTCCCCTTCTCTTACTCTCATCTCTCAATACTATTTCTGTTCTCTTACTCTCATCTCTCAATACTATTTCTGTTCTCTTACTCTCATCTCTCAATACTATTTCTGTTCTCTTACTCTCATCTCTCAATACTATTTCTGTTCTCTTACTCTCATCTCTCAATACTATTTCCCTCCCCTTTTCTTATCCTCATCTCTCAGTGAAATTTCTTTCCTCTTTTCTTTTTTATCCTTTTTTTTTCCTACAAAGTTCTGCTACATATTTTCTTGCCATCCTTTTCTTTTTTATAATTTCCTTTTGCCTCTGTTTCTATATTGACCTCCTGTTTGACGATGCCACATTTTTTTCACCTCTTGACAGCACACCAACATTCATTGTATTACTTTCTTTTTCTCTCTCACTCTCTAATATATATAACATAGTGTGTTAATAAAGCAGTGCTCAATGTAATATAACAGAGCTATTAAGTATATATTAATAAATATGCATATTATCCATCAACAATGTGGGTGTATATATATATATATATATATATATATATATATATATATATATACACACACAAACACACATTTCCACTGCATTTTATATTGCCAAACCTTATCAAAGAATTTTCTCCCCCAATTTTACAATAAGAAGTCTATACCTTTAGTCATTTTAATCTGTACATGCATTCTTTCTACTTCCTGTCAACATAGCGACTCCTATGACTACTGCACTGTTGTATGCATCTAAATGCACTTTTTTCTTTTTTTTCTCCTATAAAATTAACCTCTTTGACTCTATATGTCACTGCAAGTCACATAGAACAGAAGAGAAAAAAAGCATGCATGTTTCTAATATTGCAGTTTGCCAGTAACTCTGCCAATAAAAATGGACTCTATTTTAGAGAGACTCAACATGCTAGGATTGAATTCATCTGACACAAGGTCATAAGAGATGTTCTAACAATAAAACACTTGATAACATCCAAGTGATAATGAGATATGTACAGATTCCAGGTAACGCTGTGACTACTCCTCTGCATATGCTTCAGGGATGACAGATTCCTTGTGATTATGCTATTGTTAATACGAGTGCAGTCCTGGGAGTAAAAGTCCCTGTCGAATTCTCTGAGAAAGAATATTATATTTAAAAATGTTCATTTCTCTTGAGATGAAGAAAAATCAATATTGAAACTCTTCTTTTGTCACCTCTTATGAAACAATACAGGAGATTAATTTTTTTTTTCAAACATCTTAAGTTCTCCTATATGGCAATAATTGCTGAACAACCATCTCACAGATAAAGAAAAGACTTGAAGCAACAGAAATGTAGTTACATAGAAGATGCTGAGAATACCATGGATGGATCATGTGAGCAATGATGAAGTTTTATAGAAAATGGAAACAAAAAGGAAACTTATACTTAAGCTCAGAACCATCCACACTTTTTGAAGGGCTGAATACAGAGATCTGGTGCACTACGTGCCACAGGGTCTCCAAACAACCCTCCACAGGTTTTGAATTCAGAGTTGTCCTTCTCCTAGACCAGTTGCCATCCAAGACTATAGAACCCAGTCTGTCCTATATATATATATATATATATATATATATATATATATATATATGAATGATAGGTAGGCTAGCTGATCTGTTTGGCTTGTTAAAACATTTCATTAGCTGTTTTTATTGCACTGTTTATATTCAAATCCAATGAGAGTTGTTGAAAAAAATCAGGTGCAGTAAGGGAAGTTATTCTACTATAATTCATTGACTGTTTTTCTGCTTGTCTGTCATCGTATAATTCAAGGATGTTTAGTATTATGCTCACCAAATTTTCTCCAATTTACTCATATTTTATAGCATATAAATTTGTGATAATTACAAAATATTTTAGGTTTTTCAACCTTATTTTATCTCATGGCACACTTGAATCTATTCATGCATTAAAATAATATACCTTTCATGTGAACCAGGAAAGAAAACTGTTTAAATAATGTCTTCATCTTTTTAAAGTGTTAAAGTGTTTCATTTAATTTTCCATTCTGATCTTAACTTCTTTAATCATCCTTTAGATTTACTTAAAGGTTTTCAGCTTTACTCTTGTGAGAAGTAAATCAAAATTTATGCTTTTGATGATGAATTTTACAAACATAAATAAATTAAAGACGGATAAACATAAAAATGCATCCTTGTTTGTTAATTCAAAGCAATTAACATCATATTCTGATTTGTATTATAATCTTGCAGGATTTGTGCAGTTATCTCCCCTTTCTTGAATGAAACATCTTGGTAGAAAAAAAGTGAAATAACAATTTTATTAATTGTACTATTTTTGATCAATAAATGTATGGAAATTTGTATGAAAAATAATTTAATGATTATGTAGATATTTACTCTGCATTCAATGTTATGAAAAATTATTGATTAAACATTATTATTTAGATTGTTCACTACATGTTTTCATTCTGATATTCCAAGTAAATAAAACACTTAAATTGTATTCTGTTAAATTTTATACACAATTGTCAATTGATACTTTTGTAGAGTAAGCAGAAGTTAAGTTTCAAATCAAAACATCAAATGACAAAAATAAACACACCATGCAAAGGCTCCACACAGCCTTCCAGTTTCAAACATATTTCAAATTAATAAAAATAAAGAGTAGCCAATAAAATCAGCTTGTGCCAAAAAATAAATATTCACAAAGCCTTTTCAACCAGACATTCGTTCAACTCAGCAGAAAGATTGACAGCAGTAAAGACACAAGTCAACCTCGTAATCTCTTTGATCTTGTCTCCCAACTCCACTTTCTCTCTTCTTCACTGAAAGATTATCTTCATTTTGTTTACAAAGAGAAGAACCTTCTAAATGCAAACTTTTATTTTGTAATAGTTGTGTATTTTACATTAAATATCATCATTTTATTTGATCACAAAGCAACTCTTTCTCTCATTTTTTATTCAACACAACAAACCTGACTCAAATTAGATAAAGTGCTGAAGAAAACATGGAGCTACCAGTTTAATAAAAAAAAATAAGCAGAAACTGTATATTTTTAATACATAAAATTAACTTAGTGTCTTTTTTAATATGTTAACTGTCTTGAACTCAAATATGGACACTTCAACATGGTGTATTGTAATGGTTAACAAGCTTGTCACGTTAAATCAGTGGTTTCCAAACTTTTTTCTCTGGGCCGCATTTTCGAAATGAACATTTGCTCACACATCACCATTTATGTGATAAAAAATACATGTACAAAGACTGGCTCAGGTGAAGAGAGATCTCGATGAAAAGGTACAAGCAGTCCTACAGTAAAGAAGGTCCAGAGAGAGGGTTAAAGGGAGATAACCACGGATTCAAAGTCAGAAACATTATCATTGATAACTCTCTCCTCCAGTTTGCAGACCCTAGTTCCTATATTCTTAATACTTGATATAATACAAAAATATCACAATGATAAAATCGGTCAATAATTATTTATAACTATTTATACTGAGACTCATGCATGCAATTACAAGTAATCCATAATAATATTTTAAATTTTGAAATCATATTTATTTTTAGCATATGAATTTTAAAAAATTGTTTCTATATCTTTGTCTCTGAATCATTCTGCCTCACCTATGAGGCATGCCACACCATTTGGGAACCACTGCACGAGATCAATTATGAGTGAGTTCAATCCTCATTTGGTTCTCCATATTTTTGGCCTTGTGCTACATCTAAGTTACATATAGTAAATTGCTATCTTGATTCCAGATTTATAACCTTTCTTTTTCTCTCTGAAAAAAGATTCTCAAAATCAGACTATGTTTTTAATTCTTGGCTAAAAAAAATGTTTAATCATTATATTCTTCTTTTATGTGCCATGTCTCTTCAGGACATTGGTGATCATGACTCTCTACAACTTCCTGTCTTTGGTAGCTCTTAATAAATTTTGCCTATTTGTTATCTCTCTTAAATCCCATTCTACCACCCATTTACACAAGATCATTAGATAGGTTATGTACTGTTTTCCTCTATCTTTCTTGCTTTTGATCTGCCCTGTGAGTATCAAATTTCCCAAGCCCTTCTTCTTCATTATGTGCCTTAGAAATTTCAACCCTCTCTTTCTGATGTTAAGTTTTAGTGCCCTTTTTGTTTCTGTTTTCTCTAAAACTTTCTTGTTGCTCACATGTTCAGTTTATGGTATTCTCAGCATCCCACTGTCGAACAACATTTCTGTTGCTTCAAGTCTCTTCTTTGTCTGTTGGATTAATGAATAAAAAAATTCCAGCACTTTAGAAATTACTGACATGTGTAAAAAAAAAAAAAAAAAAAAAAAAAAAATCAAGAAAATTGCAATAACTGCACTTATGTGTTTTGTTTTGCAGCTGTTTGTTAAGTAATATATAAACTTTTATGCTTATCTTTGAACACTTCTTTACTTGAAAGGTGCACGGCAGGAATTATGCATTTCTATGTGACAGTAAGGTATGTGGATAAATGTAGATATTATGGGAAGACTACAGCTTTTAGTAAAGTTTTAACTTTTACCACTGTCCACTTGTTTTGTGCTGTCAATAATCAGAAAGGTATATACTACAAAATTCTCTTACATAGGTAAATCAGTAGGTTTACTGTCCTCCAGATTACTCTTTCCTCTTCCCACTCATTATTAATGTTTCTGTTCCTAATTCTTCCACACCCTGTTGCCCCTTTGTGTCTTAGTGGTTTTACTGCCTTGCATGTGCTGATTCTGATTTTTTATATATATATATATATATATATATAAGAAGCATTTATTTTACATAACAAACATTAATTTTTCAACATAATCTCCTTCTTTCTCAAAGCATTTAATTCAGTGAATATTAGTCATAGGTTAAGCCTTTATTATTATTATAAATTTTCTATTTTTTTTTTACATTGAAATTAGCATCTACCAGCCTTGATATTAAAAGTCTTACTAAAACAAAAATCTGTATTTCAATAGGAATTGAGCTTCTGGGAAACCACTTTCAAGCCAGGTGTTTACAGTAATAGGAAATAATGTTGGATTAAAAATCCATTAATTACTTAAAAATTAGATTGAACATAATACACCATGAATTTCAGATCAAAATCCAGCTAATAACAATGTCAAATGACAGATTTATTGGTCCATTCATGTTTGTAGGCAGACACACTATTACTGCATTTTTAATGTTGATGACTATAAAGTCTTTCTTGAAAAAGGAAAGTTTGTCAAATAGGTCAATATTGAATAAGTTTAATCATGACTAGATGATAGCTTAATTTCCAGAATCCAGTCAGTTGATTGGACAAAAAATATGACCCTTGGAAAAAAGA